GTGTGAAACAGGTTTCTTTGGCAACATCAGCTAGTTGGCAGGTTTCATATGTGTAGTTGAAGGTGTCAAAAAAATCGATAGTTTCATGCGCAGCTGAGCTGTTTTAAAAATTGAAAAAATAAAAGAGAGAGAGGAAACTTCTCAAACACCGTTTTAAGGTAACAGAGTCTTTGGCACTGACTCTGAATCTTGGGGTAATTGTTCAATGTGATGGCTTGTGAAATATACAGTTAAGCAGTGGATGTGACAGCTTTGATTTTCTTTTGCTCTTTTTCATACCATGCCCTGTTAGATCACATTCCCATGATCCTATTATATGGCAAATAACAACTGAAATGGCCACACAGAGGTCAGAGATCAGGGTCAGTCACGGCCAGGAGAAAAAATGCCTTGGCTTCAGTTTTAATATTGTCATTTTACTTATATCATTTGACAGTGACATCTTCTGTAAGTAATATATTAATTAATTCATTATAAATATAACATTATGACGGATAAAGGATAGCATAAGTCCTTAAACCAGTTTAGAGTGTGGAAGTCGCTGTTTGTTTGCGGATAAACAGATGGCAATTTTACAAGTCCAAATAAATCTCTCTGACTGAAGAAAGAGTTTACATAAGAGAAGCCAAAACCAAAATATTTTTGGGAGAACATTCTCATTTTAAAGGCAAATAGAAAACTTCTGCTTTTAGCATTCACATTTAATGAGACCAGTCTCTCCTAATGACTGTTATAACAAAATCAAATACCATACATAATAAGATAATCATCTGAATGACATCATAAGACATCTAAGGGTACAGGGATTTGGACATTCTTTGCCTGGATGGACGAACGGGTGGCCTGTCAATGCCCCCTAATCTCAACATGTCCTCATGGCTGGATGTTTAAAACTCATTTGTGAACAGAAAATGTGGAGATTTTGGGGGATGCTACTGGGCTCTATTATAAATCATGGGTTGTTTCTTTAAAGTTTTTCAAATAAATTTTTTTATTATTGTTAAGTCACTTGAGCTTCACTGTGCAGAAAAATATACGCGTAAAGTTTGACACTAGAAGGTGTTGGTGATGGTAGAAACTTTAAGCCTCCAGTGCACCATAAACTGAGAATGGACTATGTTGGTAAAGTAGGAAACATCTTGTCTAGTAATTAAACTTTTCAAACAAAAAATATTGGCATATTCATAGATTCTGCAAATTAAATGAGGAAGAAGGGGTAAATGTCAGTATAAGAATATTTAACAAGGTACACAAATTATTATTCAAGGCTCAGTGGTTTTTTATATATATCTTAAGACATGTCATGTGGTGGAAGAAAATTTACACATATTACTGCTTTCAAAATGTAACTTACGTAAAGGTACAAAACTATTAGCAATCAAAGTACTTAAAGTATCAAAAGTTTAAGTACTTATTAGGCAGCAGAATGGCTCCTGTCATCATAATGCTATCATATACTTTATTATCTGTTTAATATTACAAAACAATTAATCCTCAACAACATATCATTTTAGAAACTCACTTTAGGTTTTCAGTGCAAAATTTGTATCTGCAAGTAAGTAACAAAACCTGTCAGACAAATGAAGTGGAGTAAAAAGTAAAGTATATTTACTCTGAAATGTAGTGGAGAAGATGCATAAAGCAGCTTCAAAAAGAAATATTCAAGTAAAGTAGAGGTGCATGAAAATTGTACTTGAGTAAATGTACTTTCCATTATTGGGATATTTAAAAATAACTGACAAGCCATGAATCCCTACAAGCATACCAGCAATAAATCAAAAATGAGTTGGGTGCTCTTGGAAAACGGGGAAACAACAGGGTAAACTGGAAGGCAATCCAGTCACAGTGGCCTATAGTGGCTGAAACATGTTGGCTTTTAATAATGATTTAGGCACTTAAATAAAGGCCTTTTCATACGGCTGTCACTAACAATAATTGTCATTATCAAATCTGTTGATTACTTTCTCTATTAACCCATTAGTTGTTTGGTCTGTAAAATGTCAGAAAATGGTGAAAAATTGTGAAAATGTTTCCCAAAGTCCAAGATGACATCCTCAAATGTTTTGTTTTGTCCACAAACTAAACATATTCGGTTTACTGTTATAGGGGAGCAAAGAAACATTATATTGTTCACATTTAAGAAGCTGGAATTAGAGAATTTTGATGTTTTTTTCTTTAGATGGTGATTCATGTAATAGTTGACAACAAATCAATTAATCGTTGCAGCTCCACTTTTTAATATTTCTTCCTCGATGTTAGTATTTTTTTATTTTATTCTGAAGTGTCTTGATTGCCTTCCAGTTTAGCCTACAATAATATGAAAGACATTATACTATGATGAATACTGAATGGTGCTATAATGCCACTATAAAGGCAAGAGAAACTTGTGCTTAACCTCTTTTTTTCCAGACGTGAAGACAAGTGAGCTTTAGTAATTGATGTCTGATGAATTTGTCTGATGCTTAAGCCTCACCTTACAAATGCTCTCAAAAGGTACCCAAAAAAAGGAAACCAAAATGAGGCCAAACGTCATCACCAGAGGTGAAAAAGCTGATTGTATGCTGCAAAGAGACGCACCGGCAGTCAGTTACACTAACCTGTCAAATGTTCCAGCTGCTCTCAGAGAAGTGCTTTTTCTTTAAGTATCACAGCAAGGCCTTATCTTATCCACTTCAAACTGCGATGCCTCTTGTGATGAATCTCTTATGTGAGAGAACTGGAAAACTATTATCTGGACTTGGCAGATTTCTTTTGCTGGCCAATCGTCACACGGTTCCTGCTAGGAGCCCTTGCTCTAGTTTTCCATCTCCACAAATTGTCCACATCTCTCCCGTTTCCCTTGTGATGAGTGAAACAGACCTCGTTAGTCAAATGCATGCATCTAACACCTTACAAAGGCACACGGACAATTTGTTCTTTGTGTGGCCTCAATCACTGACTGCTCTGTACTACTATGGATGCTGGTTATTAATTTTAAAGAGCATGTTTTCTGGGAAGATAATAAATTAGAGTTAAGCAATTAACTGCTTTTATTTATTACACTAGTTCAATTATACATTTCAATTAGCACCGTATATTTACAGACATGTTAAACATAATTGTTTGGCACTGTTTTAAGCCAAATTATTCTGTACCACATTTATGCTTTAAAACTACATACTATAGAGAACTGAACATGTATAGCTGAATATCAGATTTGACATTTTTTTAAAAGTACATAAAAGGAATCATCTCTATGTGTGTTTTGAATGTATAAATTCCTAACAAATGTGTAAGCTTGTGTGACACTGGGAGGTATTGTCTCTGATAGGCTGTCACTGAGCTGCTGGCAGTGCTGGGTGGAGGTAGATGTCCTTGCTGAGCAGCAAGAAAACAAGCGGCCTGCTGGCAAGGGGCCATGACAATGCACATGCACAATTAGTCCTGGGTCAATTGCATTAGGGTTTCTCAAAGGCAAGAGGACAATCAATGAGTGACTTCTTGCTTATTAGAAACTGAATTTTGGCATTTTTAAATGAAAATCCAAGAAACAGGTTTCTGCTGTTGAGCTGTATGGACAACAGAATAGATAAATGACTGGGGTGTGACTGGAGCAGGTTTTACAAAGAGGAAGTCTTTATCCGAGGGTTACTCTAGGGTCATGCTAATGACTAATGGGGTGCTGTGACCTCTGACCCTTCATCTCTTTAGCATCCTTTCCTTTTAATGCTGCTGTGCTTTCCAACAGCCTATTCTGTGACCATAAACACAGTCATGGAAATGACTCCAGAGTAAGGAGCACTTGATTCCCAGTGCATAGAGGGTACCAGGCTACCCCCTAGTGGCACAGCGAAGCGATGAACCGTGTCACAAACTAAGTTGTTGTCTCCCTCAAACGGATAAAGGGTAAACCGGATACCCAAACTGATGGGAGGAAAAGTCCTTTGTGGCGTAAGACGACGCGGAGGAAGCCCTGCGGGGAATTCCGCTGCGTTAACGGGAGATGTTTACTTTATATGCAAATGAACCTCATCGACACCAGAGGTCTTATATTTTAAGGCCCGAGCCCCGCTCCCCCCCCCCCCCCCCCAGACTTTTCAAGAAAGAAAGCTTTGATGTTGGCAGGAAGGATCGATGCCAGGGAAAGAGGAGAGAGGGAGGAGGGAGGGGAGTGAGGATGCAGAATGAAAATGTACTTCTGGGTGTGTGTGTGTGTGTGTGTGTGTGTGTGTGTGTGTGTGTGTGTGTGTGTGCGTAAAGGGAGGTGGGTGTGGAGAGTCTGCCGTCATAAGCAGACCCTTTATGAATCCTCTAAAGGCATCCTGCTACATGTCCATCTCTTTAGGGGGAAAACCAGCCACAAGTGACGTTTTCAAGCCCCCACCCCCCCAACCCCCTACAGGCCCGCATCATCTGATCGTCTGGACGTAATAAAGTTTGTCGGGTCGCATCGGTCTGAGAGGAGGCAGGCTGAAATGTAACTGGTTGACCTTACTGCGCCATTTATTTCTGTTTCATTTAGCACAATCTGTCGGAGCAGTTGCTGTACATGAGAGAGGGGAATCAAGTGAATGGGTGATCCGAGGTTCTCCGCAACATCCTTCTGTCATTTTGGCCGTGTAGGCCTGCGGAGCCGCTGCGGAGGAGCAACTTTATGGACACACACAAATACACACACACACACACAAATGAAAATCCTCCAGTCACTATACCAAGGTTTCAGATCAAGTTGCCACGTCTAACAAGGTTGCAAAGGATTTGTCTCACTGTGCAGGGGAGACACGAAACAGAATAAGAGCGTCTACCCCCCCATACAGGACCGATTATCAGAGACGGTATTATCATAAAAGGCCACTTAACAGACTGATTCAAGTGCAAAAAGTCTCAAAATAAGAAATAATTAACCAGCAAATCAGATCAGTGCAAAGAAAGCAACAGACACCCTGAAAGCAGATGCTTTACTGAGGATGTGATCAATTAATGATTAAAAAAAACGCACGGCATAATCCGCATCTACTTACATAGAGGTGATGTTTTTGAATAACTCTGCTATGTCAACGCTGGTCCCATTGCTACCAGTATCTTGCAGGGCGAGTAAAGGGAAAAACCTGCCGCTGTCGGACTTATTGCAATAGATCTCTGTTTGAGAGCAGCTGCAGGTCGGCGGGCAGTCCAGCATGGAGCTCAGATAGTCCTGGAAAACACTCATCAGAAACAAAACCCTCCACCAGCAAATCCGGATCGAATGAAACCATAGATCCATGTCTCCGGGCAAAGGGGGGGAGAAGCGGTCCCGATGTCCTCTGGGTTAGAACAGAACAGGAGAGAGGAGAGGAGGAGAGTAGGAGGAAGGAAGGAAGGATGAGGATGGTGGTGCGTCTGTACAGAGGATGCTTTATGCGAGCGTTTCTGCCGTGGATGGATGCTGTAGTGTCCTTGCGCGTCAGAGATTGGGTGAAAAGGAGGGGGAAAAAGAGAAAGAAAACACGCAACAACACACACACACACACACACACAAAAAAAAACAGAAATCAAAAATAAGAATGCGAAATAATGTGAGGCTGCAGTCGTCCTTTCAGCCTAAGATGCATGGTGTTTCCCCGGAGCGCCGTGCTGCTGGTGTCGTCGTCTCTCTCCAAGCAGGACCAGGACGACTGGCTGGAGAGCAAAGACACAAAATGAGAAGTTGGAGCATCAAGTCCCTCCTACCGGCTACAGTCATACTGACACCTGCAGAAAATGCATGCCATCAGCAGTGATTATGACAGTGAGACTTTTCATATGAAAAATGTTATACTGCACAGTGATATCCATGGTGTTTATAAGATCACAATATCAATAAAGAATGACACATGATTAAACTGATGATTAAATAAAAAATAGCCGAAATAACCATATGCTTAAAACAACCTAGCAATCAGGAGAAAAATACATTAGTAGCCTATCATTGGAGATAAATAGGAATAGAATTTACCATAATGTAGGTTAATTAAAACGCAATGAAGATAAATGACATGGTTTCTAAAGTAAAGTTACTATAATAAACAGATTATACTATTAACAGGATTCACCGCCCCTTGGAATTCATGTTTCATTGTTTTACATTGGATCAAAGTAGATTGGGTGCCTTTTTTTACCAATCAAGAGAAAAGTGCTCTTTAATGTGAAATAAAAATGATGATTTTAATTACAAATACATGCCTGCATGATTACTCACCTCTCTAGTAGTCACCTTAATAATCACTGGTGTAGCCAATTGTTTTTAGAAGTCACATAATTGGTTGAACAGAGATCACCAGTATGCAGTTTAATTGACTTTACACCCATATCTGGAAAAGAAACACTCACAAAGGAACACTCCAGGCAACAATGTCAATGTCAAGTCAGAGTCCGGATCTTGAACCAATTAAGAATTTGTGGCTGGACTTGAAAAGGCTGTTTGCACATGGTATTACAAGGGGTTGAATACTTTTACTGTAAGACCCTGTACTCTATATATAAGAGTATGTCCTAAGTTTTCTGACTATTCTAAAAATATAGGTATAGAATTAACAGTAATAATTAATGCTGTGTTTACTGATTTCACAGATTTGTATTTTACATTATCTCCTTTATACTGTATCACAAGTCAGAAACATCCTCTACACTTGGTAAGGACGTGGAGTTAAAAGCAGCTCAGCTATAATGATCATCCATATCTGGCAATGTTCAGAATCAGAATCAGTTTTATTGCGAGGTATGTGTACACATACAAGGAATTTGACTCTGGACTGTACATTGCTCACAATGCGCTTACTCATACAAAAATACAAAATCACAATAAAAAAAATAAGATAAAATCAGACACAGACTTCAGTGTAGATAACACAAATATACACACTATGAACAAAAACAATATAGACATTGACAAATAGTGCAGTGAGCAGAGTGCAAAGGATGCAGGAGTGTGTACATGTCAGAGATGGATGTGAAATACAGGTACATATACATGCATACATGAACACATGAACACAGTGCAATGAAGCATAGTGCAAAGGATGCTGGAATAAATAAGTATAAGTATTTTATGCAGGAGTAATGACTTGAGGTAGGTGGACTTGGTATACAGTATCTACAATATGACAATATAACAAACAGTATGAACAGCACTGAAATAGAGAATGGTGAATAAATAATAAGTGTTAGCCAGTAAAGGTGGCTGATTAGAGGCAGAGTTTCTGTGTTATTGCACAAGAATTGTTCCTGACTGTGAGTCAGAAATCAGCTGTTCATCAGAGTGATGGCTTGTGGGAAGAAACTGTTCCTAAGTCTGTTGGTTTTGGCGTACAGTGCTCTGTAGCGCCTACCAGAGGGGGAGAAGCTGGAACAGGTTGTGTCCGGGGTGAGATGGATCTGCGGTGATGTTTCCTGCCCGTTTCCTGACTCTGGAAATGTATAAGTCCTGAATGGAGGGCAGGTTGGCACCAATGATCTTTTCTGCAGTCCTGACTGTCCGTTGTAGTCTGCTCCTGTCCTTTTTGGTGGCAGATGAGGCCGATGACCGTTGTGTCGTCAGCAAACTTCAGGAGTTTGACAGATGGGTCTCTTGAGGTGCAGTCGTTGGTGTAGAGGGAGAAGAGCAGTGGGGAGAGCACACACCCCTGGGGGGGCGCCAGTGCTAATAGTCCAGGTGCTGGATGTGATGTTCCCCAGTCTCACCTGCTGACTCCTGTCAGTCAGGAAGTTTGTGATCCACTGACAGGTGGAGGCTGGCACAGTGAGCTGGGTGAGTTTGGTGCTGAGGATGTCCGGGATGATGGTGTTAAATGCCGAGCTGAAGTCCACGAACAGGAACCTTGAATATGTCCCTGGAGAGTCGAGGTGTTGCAGGATGTAATGCAGTCCCAAGATGACTGCATCATCCACACCTGTGCTCTGTAGGCAAACTGCAGGGGGTCCAAAAAGGGGCCTGTAATGTCCTTCAGGGATGCCAACACCAGTCTTTCAAAGGACTTCATGAGTGCAGATGTCAGGGCGACAGGCCCGTGGTCATTTAGTCCAGAAATGGAGGATTTTTGATGATTGTGGAGCGTTTGAAGCAGGAGGGAACTTCACACTGCTCGAGTGATCTGTTGAAGATCTGAGTGAAGATGGGGACACACCGTCTGGACCAGGAGCCTTCCTGATCTTCTGCCTTTGGAAGAGGTGGCTCCCGTCCTCTTCACAGATCTTGAGTGCAGGTGAGGGGTCAGAGAGGGGGGGTGGCAGTGTGTCAGAGGGGGAAGGTGACTGTATGAAGATGGTGTTAGGAGCGTGGTAGAGGTGTGACTGTGGGCTTTTCAAACCTACAATAAAAGCCATTCAGCTCGTCTGCCAGTTGTCGAGTACCAGCAGTGTTGGGGGATGGTCTCCTGTAGTTGGTGAGTGTCCGCAAGCCTCTCCAAACTGATTCAGGGTCGTTGGCTGCAAAGCTGTTATGTAGCTTTTCAGCGTAGCATCGCTTTGCTGCTTTGACCTCCTTAGTCAGAGTGTTCCTGGCCTGGTTGTACAGGACTCTGTTCCCACTTCTGAAGGCCTCCTGCTTGGTCTGATGAAGCTGCCTGAGTTTTGCTGTGAACCAGGGTTTTTGGTTGTGACAACTTAAGTGGCAAAACATGCCTGTGTCATGATATTCTGAATGAGGACTAATCCTGGGTTAAACGGAGAGTAGGAGATTCTGCAGAAGGATTGTTGATATTTGAGCTCCACTGCCAAACAAATACACCCTTCTCTTCAGTGTTTTCCTCAGAAGCTCTCAGACAAGGGTTTGCTCTCTGTCTCGCACACCAGGCTGCAGACTTCTAGGGATAGAGCCTTCAGCTTCACAGTCCCAACTCTCTGGATCTCCCTTTAGAGATCCACAACGCTCCATCCCTGGACACTTAAAAAACTGCTAAAAAACGATCTCTTTACCAAGTCATGTAATCTTTAATGACCTCCTTTTGTTGTTTTTGTGTTGTTTATTCGTAAAGTGTAAAGCTTCCTTGGGTCCCCTGAAAGACACTATAAAAATGTAGGTTATTATCATTGTTATTGAATTTAACAAAAAGTATATTGGATTACAATCCCTTTAATGAGAAATTGAAAGAGATACAACATTGTGGTTCTGACAATGAGGAAACTTCAGATTCAGGGGGAGGCTGTATGAAAATTATTTAATGTTCAAATATAATTATCAAGGCAGATTTGACACTTCACGGCATCAAATTAAATTGATGTTGTGCCTGAAACCATTATGGAAAAGTGATGTTTTCATATTCCAAAACGGTATATTTAACACAACTTACTTCCATTTTAACAGAGTTAAAATAATGGAGGAGCTATGTATTAACAATAAATAGCAGTGTACATGTTTTGCTGTGTAAAATAATCATTCAATAATTCACACTTTTTCAAGCTTGTCTTAAAACAATTGCTGCTATCACTCCTCCTGTTCATACTGGCCCTTCACTTCACTTTCACTGTAAGTGATGGAGGATAAAATCCACAGTCCTCACTCAGCGTACAAATATGTTCTAAAGTTTACCTGAAACTAACATGAGGTTTCTGCAGTCTGAGTTCGACAGAGTTAGACATGTCAATTATCTTCCAAAGTGACAGCATTTTCAGAAAGAAATCCCTCTTTGTGTTTCCCCGGACAGTGTTTCCTGTTCAGCTGAAGTGGAGGGATAGTAACACAACGCGAGGATTTTGTACTAAAAACACTCACTTCGGAAGGTATCCACTTTATTTGACTAACTCTGCTGGAGCCTCCTGTTAGCGTCAGGTAAATGTTGGAATACTGGGGATTTTGCTCCACATCACTTAGACTGGAATGTTAGTGTAGGATTTTAGCATGTTAGTAAGGGATATTTTAATGGCCTGTATGAACAGGAGGAATCATTACAGCAAGTAAAACCTATTTCAGTGTGCACAACGGCGCTTGACTTTTGTTTTAGGACAGGCTTGTAAAACTGTTAACATATCCCTTAATGCATAGGGGGAACAAACATGCCAGTTCCCCAGCCACATCACTCCTTTGACACTCTTTTCTATTGGATCTGCTGTGTGTAACTTTACTTATAATGAAATTTTTTATTTAGTGAAATATTGCCATAATACAACTTAATCAGGCATCTTCATTCAACGTCAAATAGAAATAGCTAATACAATTTGAAAGCCAATAAAATATGAAACAAATGAAGAGCAGGGGTAGATGGCATTCACTGGACTGTATACCTGAGTCACTACCATGCAGTTGTTAGGACATGCCAGTTTAGTTCTACATGTTGGAGGAAAAGGTATGTGAACCCTTTGGAATTAAATAGATTTATGCACAAATTGGTCATGAAATGAGATCTGATCTTCATCTAATTAAGTCACAACAATAGGCAAACACAGTCTGCTTAAACGAATACCACACGAACAATTATGTTTTTATTGAATAAAAAAACAGTCACAGTGCAGGGTGGGGAAAGTATGTGAACCCTTGGCTCTAGTAATTGGTTGACCCTCCTGTTGCCCCCCTTCCCTGCACCTTAAGTCTTTGTCATTAAACTAAGCTACTCGCCATTTCTGTCTCTGTGTGCTGAGCATTGCATCTGAGTCCTGCAGACAAACCTTAACAGTACTATCTGGCCA